CCGGCCGCCGGCGATACCAGGCAGGGTCGCCCTGGGAAAGCCGCCTGCTTTCCATCAGAAAAACCTGACGAAAAACCAACGTGTTCCCCACAGAACATTTCGATTTCTTCAGAATCGGCGTTTTCCAGCCATCCTGCTGAGAAGTTTCTGGCCAGCTGAAAGCACGGTGCCTGTGCCAAGGGCCGCTGCCTGCAGAGACACCCCGAGCAATGCTGCAGGGAGCACGAAGCCTGCAGCTGGGGCCATGTATTTGAGCCCTCCTCGCTCAGCAAGCCTGCAAAGCATTTGTGAGATTCCCTCCCCACCTCGTGCATGGCTCGTTACCGATTTAACAGCATCTGCTGAGTCTTCGGGTGGAGCTGCAAGAGAAGGTAAGGCTCCAAAACTCCAGGGCAGCACCACATGCGTGTTCTGCTCCCGGCTCCCAGCTGTCCCCTCCCACCACCTTTGCAGGTTTTGGCATTCACACAACTCCGTGCACTGGGGGTATTTCCTAAGAAAATGTAATTTCTCAGCAACACAAGCCCATTTTGCTGGGCTTGGGGTGACCAGATATCAGTCACATTTAAAAAAAAAAAAAAAAAAAAAAAAAAAGTTAAGCAGATAATCTTACTGGTGTGAAGACACATAATTTACATACATTTGAGTTGAAGATGATTTTGGTGAAAAATAAGAACAGTTTGTAACCCTTTCTACACTCTAGTAAAATTGATCAGAATCCATTTAATGGAGTGGGGGCGCTCTTCGGCGGTTGCCCCCGGGAGCCCCTGCCCGCTGACGGTCCTGATGATGGGGAAGGCTGCACATCCGAGGGAGCAACATCTCGGCCTTCACTCCTCCAGCAACCTTTCTACCACAGCTCTGCTTTTTTTTTTTCTTCCTTTAAACACAGGAATAAAATGGTATTTTTCCAGATTGCAAGGTCACTTGGAAGCATCTGGATGCACTGATTCATATTACAAAGACTCCATGCCAGATTTTCCTGGGATTTACAGTAACAGGGATGAAGCTTTATAAAAACACTCATAAAAACTTGAACTAAAAAAAACCCCGACCAACTTACCATCCTACCAGATGACTCACAGAGGTAACTCCTATCAGTTACAGCAGTTGTGCACCAGTAGCTTTCTCATATCAGATATTCTGAGCTGATCTCACGCACCGAGAAATGCAGATCGGGCAAACGACTTCGCAGGGCTTATGCAATACCTCCCCTGCTTATTTTTGTCGGTAGCTTTTCGAACAGAGGAATGAAAGGTCCTAATGCAAAAAAACCAAATGGAGGAAGTACAATTTGACCTCCCTAACTTCATTAGAAATTTTTTTTAAAAACTTTCTGAAAGCTGACATCATTTTTTCCAACCAGGAGAGCCTGGATGGCCAACTCTGGCCTCAGCAGCTCTCAGGCACCCTTTAAAAGACTGATGGGAAAACGTAACTTCCCGTTAATGTGGGCTGATCGGAGATTACAAAACAGTCCTGTAAATAGTGTTAGTCATCACTGAACTTGGCATCAGAAAAGACTGTTTGCTATGCTAAAGCTTCATGAAAAGCTAGAAATTATAACTTTAAAAAAATCTATAAATAAAAAAGGTATTACAGCCGTGCTCTGGATTTAGACAGTGCGAATGGCATGCTCTCAATACCTGCTTTGTGCCACTCTCAGCCCACCTTCTCGTGGTTAGTCCTTCCCTCTGCAGAGGGCCAGAAAGTTCTCCATTAGCATTAGCAAGTCGAATACTTGGATGACTATGAATGGGCTTTGCTATTCTGTGGGGAACAGCATCCATTTGACACCAATCCCAAGATTCTCAGTTCTGATGCTAAGTTAAATATTACACAGTCTAGCAGGGTGCGATGACCTTTCCAAGTTGAGTCAACTAGGAAAAAAACAGCAAAACCAGCCTGAAGGCTAGAAAATACAGCTTTAAAGGCTGAAAGAGGGCTCGTGTCAGGGAAGCAACGGCAAAAGTGAATTCTCCTTTAATTTTATTCTGCAGCTCTACCACAGGTCAGGGAGAAAGTGCTGGGCCCTCTGCAAGCCTTTTCGTTTCCAGCGAATTCCTGATAGAGATCCAGTTCCAGAGCCTCCCCTGCTGAGACAGCTCGAGTCCCAGCCGGATCTTACCTAGCCTTTATGTAGTCGCCAGAGATTAAAAAGGTGATTTTTATCTGTCAACAGAGTAAATTTGATACAGAGCAATGGAGATACACAAAGACCCCCGTTGTGCCATGTTCACGGAGTGCCTCTCCCAAGCATGCCATCACGGTTATTCCGGGTAAATGCGAACGGCCTGACCCACCTACAGAGAACCTAAAAGCTCTGCATTTCATTATCAGCACATTTGCATCAAGCTCTGTGCTCTCTCCAGCAACTTTTGTTAAAAACGCAATCAAAGTGGCCCCAGCCGCCACAGCTCTCCTGCCGGGGCTCCAATATTAATGCCACCTGAGAACACAGACTGCAAATTTAGCTGGAAGTGAATCACAGTGCCAATTTACTGGGAAAAAAAAATAATTAATCAAGTGTACTGTTTGTCCATTTCATTTCCACGGAACAGTTGCATAACCACCTATTCGGAGCATGTTTTATTCAGTGCTCACCTTCTGGAACGCAGCAATACCTTAATACATCACTAATATACAGCAGAACAGATAATTCACCGATTTCTCCATCATTAAAGTAAGCGAGGCCATTTTAATGGGTAGGGTAAATTAACAGCAGAAAAATTAATCAATCCAAAACTAGCCTCACCATGGAGCTCAGTATGCCACCACTGCAAATGTCTCAGACCAATCTGTAGCGCCGCGTGTGAAGAACTCGATTTCCTATGAATCATTTCATGGCGAACTGTAGCAAAGAGACATTGGCTGAACGGAACAGCAGCCAGGAAGACAAAGGGATTATACTTCAATTGATGGTTCCTATCTAATTTATACCTGCTAATTTATACCTGCTAATTTAATAGTGAGGTAGCAGAGTAAGCAGGTCAAATGACCTGTGCATCTAAACCTGCCACTGCTGTTGGAAATTTGAGCAAATATTTGGAGCACGTTTTATTCACTGCTCCCCTTCTGGAACGCAGTAATACCTTAATACATCACTAATATACAGCAGAACAGACAATTCACTGATTTCTCCATCATTAAAGCAGAGCAAAACTGATTCGGTCCCTCTGCTGCTCTGAGAGAAGCTAACGCTGGAAGGCAAGGCAGCCCCAAGGCGCCTCCGGCCAGCTCGGCTCCCAGCCCAGCGCGGGGCTGGGGCGACGTTTCTCCAGCATCCACGGCACCAGGAGCTGAGCCGGGGGCTGACGTGTGTTTGCTCACAGGACAGCGAGACAGCTGTGCACACCCCGCTCCTGGGACAGGGATGAGCAGCCCGGCCTTTGCACAAGGCAGGCACGAACCAGGTCAACAGCTTGGGTTGGGCTGTGGTTCCCCATCCTTGACATACGGCCGTGACTGCTTGTCTGCACACCTCCTCACCTAAAACAGTTCAAAACTTCACCGCGGGCAAGATCTGCTCCACTGGTAGATGCAGTTTTACGCTGTTGTCACCACGTTGCGGCTACAGGGACAGCCAGGTTGGTGGCCACGCATCGGTTTCTCAAGGGTTGTGGCGCAGCAGAGGCAAGCCCCGCACCCCGAGTCCACGGCGAGGGCAGGGGCAGCCGCACCGCCCGACTCTGCCCGTCTCTCCTCCGCGCAGGAGGCCCACGAAGACCAGCCGCCAGCGAGCCACCTCCAGCTTAGAGACCAGCACAGGGAGCACCACGAGATGTGCTACCCCGAGCAGTTCACAAAATAACAACAGAGGCAGATGGAAACTCTGAAATCCAGGATCCCAATCTATGAAAAGGACGCGGCATTTCTGCTAGAGACAGCCCAAAGCCTACAGCGCTGCTATGAGCGGTCCCCTCCCGCGGCACAGGAGCCCTCCCGTCCGCATCGGCGGGGCGCGCGGCACATGCGAACCCTCTGCAGAGCAGCTTGGCCTCCGCCGAGGAAAACAATGCCGAGATCGGTCAAAGCGAGCTCCGCAATTTCAGAAAATTTACTTCTACAGAAATTAACAAAAGGAGGTTTCGAAATCTGCGCTGCCGAGTATGAACTTTCAGCTTTTTCCAGCTTGGCTGGATACAACTGGTTTGGTTTTAAATGTTTCAGTGAATTAACGAGTTAGGTTGTTAATGCAAAACACTCATTCCGCGCAGTGCCAAGGTCCCCAGTTAGAAGATTAATTTTTTTCACCTTCTGCAAACCTTAAAAAAAAGGGGACGGGGCTGCCCGCGGGCACGCAGGACGGCGACGTGCTCCGGTGCTCGGTGCAGCTCTGCTGAAGAGTGAATGCTCAGTTAACAACAACAACAAACCTACAAAACAAAAAAACCCCAAACCAACACCAAAATAGAAGTAAACTAACAGTTTCCTCAACACTTTTGGTGCCTGCTAGGCAGGCAGACACACTCCCCAGGTCAGAGACAA